CCTCTTTTTCCCAGGAAGTAGTTTTATGCAGCCAGTGACTTCCATAGCAGGGTATAGTATGGGATTCCCAGTAAGCATTTATTAGTAGTTGGATCACTGCTCAGTGATTTACCAAGAAGCATAAAAATGCATTGTTGACTTCACAGGGTGCCATACCTCCCCTGGGTCAAGGGCATCTGATAAATCATTCAAACTAATTTGCAAAGGAGAGTAACACCATGGGGTGTATTTGTACACATCCTGTTAATCCTAAACACTCCTGAGTGTGCATACAGACAGGTTTTTTGTCAGCTCTTCAGATTATAAACCTAAAATTCAGTTGCAAGAAATGTCATCTTAGTCTGGGATCACAACCGGTGAGTACTACTTGTATCTGATACACTACAAAAAAATGCATGTTGGATATACTGTATATATACTTGATACTTGGTGGCTACATGCAACTACTAAAAAATGCATGTTGGATCCATGTGACTACCACATTATGCCTGTGAGCTTAGAGTGACTACATGCATGTACTTACTGGGTCAGTATAGGAAGATGTCACTACTAAAAAATGCATGTTGGATATGTATGGCTACCATATTATACCAGTGAGATTATAGTGACTGCATGAAAGTTTGCTTTGCTTGGTAATGCATACAAAAATGTTCACCTTGAGTGCCCCATACTATATATACACTCTTTACTGGGGTGGTGTATACAATTTAGAACTACATATTGGCTCTGCTAGAATGCAAATATTTTTGATATGGACTACTATTATTTCTGCATGATTCTTTGGCAAGTTGATTCTTTTGCACTGTAATGACATAATTATTGTGCCTGAGACAATGTATCCTGATTGTATCTTGCAGGAGCTGTCCCCTTTGCATGCAGCATGGCGGTAAGAGATTTGGCTACATTACAGCTTACTGATGCTGAAAAAATTCTCCTTTCGGGGCCATCAACCAACAGATCTGGGAGTATACGAAAGAAAGTGGATAAGCCTGTTACTGATACATCCCATGGTGATGAGTCAGCTGAAATAGAGAAACCCCAAAACACAATTGTTGAAAGTGAGGAACCAATGGATCATGGTGAGGACACACCCCAGGATGAAATGATGCACACAGATCATGATGAAATTGTACACACTAATCAGGGTGAAAGAGTGGACACTCCAGATACGGTTTCTTCAGTCTCTTCAATTTCTTCAGACTCTTCAGTGTCTAGTGTCAGTGCCACTAACAGTGAAAATGAATCTGAACTTGAATTTATCAGAAACACAGAATTGATAAGAAAGAAAGAACAAAAGAGAAGAATACGTAAAGCCCGTCAGGCTAGTCGAAATGAATCAGAGAGCAGTGATAATAGTGATGATGCTTCCCAACATGACTCGTTATCTGATTTAGGATCATCATCAGGGGATGAAATTGGCCTTTCCTCTGAAGATGAAGAAATGGCACGCACTAGACTACGTCACCAGAATGCCAAAATGATAGAAAATGTATGGCGTAGAGAATATTCAGAGCCAGAGTGCTGGAGTGAGTCAGAAGATGACAGCAGTAGGGAAGAGGAAGATGGCTGGTCTACTATCCTGAGACCACGCCAAACACAGCCCTTCACTGGTGACACACCTGGGCCCACCATTGATTTGGATGAAACATCAAAACCAATTGATGCATTCTATGCTATTTTCCCCAGAAGTTTAGTGAAAAAGCTGTGGAAAGAAACAAATAGATATGCTACATGGTGCACAGCCAAGAAGGGAGTGGCTGATAGATTCTGGTCCCCTGCTAGCAGTGAAGAAATTAGTGCACTGCTTGGTATCATTGCCATAATGGGGGTTGATTCAAAACCAGAGATTGGGGACTACTGGTCTTCCTGCCAAGCAATAAGAAATGCATATATTGCCAACATTATGACTCGCAATAGATTTCAGAAATTGATGCAATATTTCCATTGTAATGACCCCCAGAATGACCCAATGAACATAGCTAATGACCAGGAACGAAGGGAAAAGAGAAAACAGGCACCACTGTATAAAGTGCAGCCAGTACTGGATACTGTATTTCAGAAATCCCGGGAATGCTACAACATGCATCGTGAGGTTTCCATAGATGAGTCAATTGTTGGATACAAGGGACGCTTTGGAGGAATCCCTACAGTATTTATACAGGGAAAACCTCGGGCAAAAGGATTTAAAATATATGCCTTGGCTGATGCTACTAATGGATATAATTACAACGCTGAGGTTATGTCATTAACTGGTAGCCATGAGCGGTACAGAAGGGATGTGTCTAGGACCAGAGCCCTGTGTGAAAGACTGATATTTGACATCAGAGGATTCCACCATATATTGTTCACAGACAGTTATTATACCAGTTTAGACATGGTGGCACATTTATTGACAGAGTGTGGAACATATGTGGTTGGTAGCGTCAGACAAGATAGGGTGGGATTCCCCAATGCCCTCCGGACAAATGCAAAGAAAAATGTAAATAACCAGAAGATAGTGAAGCTTGAGAGGGGGCAGTTTGTCTCCAGACAAAAAGGGGAGGTAGTTGCTTTATGCTGGAAAGATTCAAGTCTCTTGAACATACTGACATCATTCTATGAGGGCTACAGAAATGACCACCAAAGAGTAATTAGGTTCATACGCTCACAAGAAACTGGTAGGAAAACAGCACACACTCTGCCTGCACCTGAGGCAGTTAGCCAATACAATAAATACATGGGAGGAGTTGACAAGTCAAATCAACTAAGATCATATTATACAGCACAGCGCCAGTCCAAAAAATGGTGGAAATACATATTTTTCTACCTTTTGGATACTGCCATTTGCAACAGCTGGATTTTGTACAAAGAATCAGGGAACCCAAAGATAACTCACAAGTCTTTCCAAACCAATGTTAGCATGGCATTGATAGGTGGCTATTCATCTCGAAAACAGCACACAAGGAATACTGAACCTGCAATCAGCTCCTTCAAAAACCACCATTTAGTACACAGTGGTCGCCCTCGGGGTACATCATGTAGATGGTGCATTAAGATTGGAAGAAAAACACGTAGAGGGTGCCCAGTATCCAGTGTGTTCAAATGTCAGGAGTGTAGTATCAATCTATGCAGAGGATGTTTTTTGCCTTACCACCATGTTGCAACAGGGTGCCCAGATAAGCACAAGACAACACAGACTGCGGATGAGGATTTGGGGGAGGCTAGACGAAGATGGGGTCATCATGGAAGAGGAGGTGCAGCAGTCAGAGGTGGAAGAGGAGGAGGCAGAGTTGGGAGAAGACCAAGAGGAAGAGGAGGCAAAAAATGAGTGAAGAACTGAGGAATATAGGGCCCCATGGGATGGGGGGTCTTGAAATGTAATTTTGAAGAAAATAAATAAATATGAATTGACCACCCTATTTTCTAATTTCATGTTACAGGTACATATAGAAGTAGAAATCATAGAGTAAAAGACTTATGAAATATATTATACTGTTTTACAAGGCTCCTGCAGCACTGTTTTGTAGGTAATTGGATGTCAATACAGAGAGTTGTATCTAAAATATATGCATTCATTTAGAGCCAAAATGAAGCCATGTTAAACCATGTAAAAACATTTTGTAGTCCTAGTTACATGGGACAAATTTTGTGGAAAATCTGTCGCCACAACATGCAGTATTTAGTATATAACCTGTAGCCAAGAGCAAACTTGTGTACTATGTGTTGACCCAAGATGATTTATTTGTAACTCAGTCATAGCCATAGAGTACAGTCAAGCATTGACTGGCCAGCCAAGATGCATATTTTTGTAGTTTCACATGTAACAATATAGCCCCACAAATACCTAATGCATATGTTAGTAGTTAAGCCCAACCAAGTAGAATATTTTAGTAGTATCATTTACACACTAAGAGTTTACATGAGTAGTTACACGCACCCAAGAGGAATATTTTAGTAGTGCCAAGTACACACTAAGTATCAACAAGCATTTAACCTTGTCAGCCAACATGTAGTTTAATGAAGGGCATGAGCCTGTAATTTGAGAAGCTATTGTCATTGACTACTAAAAAATGCTTACTGGGAGGACAGTTAACAACTGATTTGGGAAAAAGAGGA